TTGCTGGCACTTAATAAATAATAATAATATCTGTGTGTGCAGGGAGTGTGTGTGTGTGAATATCAGTACTGGGTGTATGTGTGGGAAATAGTAGTAAATCTGCTTTTATATTCCCTCTTCTCTATAATTTACCCCTAGATATCCTCCCCATGGCCTTGTGAATTCAATTGTGCTCCAGCTTGCTCCTGTCCTTATCAGAGGTGGCTGGGGCTCCGATGGTCTAGCATTGCGTCTGGGTAAATATGCCCTCACAAGGTTCTGCTGCACAGACAACTCAGTCTTCCAGAATAATACATGGAACATAGTTCTGTATTCAGGCAAGAGCAAGACAACACCATGAGAAGTCCGTGTGGAATGACCATGTGAGAGCACACAGCTTTCATAGCCTAATGGCTTGCAAATGTTTGCAGAGTACAAGGGACACACTGTTTGCCCAATTTACTTATGAAGCCCATCAAGGCTAAAATAATTATCTGCAGTTTCTGAATCAGACACTTGTCCTTTTGGTTGCTCCATAAAGTGAACTTGTAATGAAGATATTAACTTACTCATTCAATGTAAAATATATTGATTTACTACATTTTCCTCTGTTCCATCGCTATTTCGTGGGTATTACTCTTCATGTAACATCAACCTGCGGGCTATCTTCTGCTCCACCTGGAGTAGGCCAAATATCTTCAGTGACAATGACACACTGGCAATGTTGCTACTGTGCTGGCCTGTGGTTGCTATGGGTGGAGAGCAGAGGGACCTTCTGTGGGATATCTTTACTGCTTTCCCTTATCAGTCAATGTCAATATTTTTTCTTTTTAATCTATACATTTGCTGTAGTACACTTAGGTCTAATGTCTTACAAGTGTGGCCTGCAAGCCTGAGAACATTTAACCATGAACAATACTCCTGGAGTATCTCGTTGGCAGGCAGCAAATGCCAATTAAATGAAGGGTGCATGTGTGGCCACATATAATTGTCAAGATGTTTGTCCCATGGCATGCCCTATGGCCAGTGTATGACAGTATTTCCTGCCTGACACAGGGGGCTTGTACTATCCCAGTCTAAAGAACAAAGTCTAGGTTTGGATGTAGAGCTGCTAAATTGAAAAAAACAAAAAACAAACAAAAAAAAAACCTTTTTGACGATTTTCCCTTTTCTTTGGAATTTAAAACCATTTCCAAAAACCACAATGTCAATGTCTCCTTACTCTTTTGAATCTACAAACCAGAGTTCATTCAAAAACAAAAGAAAACATATCTGTAGAGGGTAGTGAGAGGTGAATTGAATTCTGGCTTTGATTTAATATGTGTTTGTACATTTTTTTAAATGATCTATTATTTTGAAAAATGTTTTCATTTTGTAATATTTCTATTTTTGTTTTAAATATATTCTAGGTGTCACGGGGTCATACCCCAACTTATATGAAATGGCAAATTCAACACACATAGACGTTTTACCGGGCCTTAGAGTAGCAAAGTCAGTAATAGCCAAGGTCAGGATAATAGAAATCCAGACAAACATAATAACAAGCCGGGTCAGGACAAAAGAAATACACAAAGTCAAATACAAGCCAAAAACAATATCAAAATAGACTTATTATAAGCGCTATATAAACGTGTATAATGGCTGAAACCAAGATAGGGCCCAAATTAAGTGCCTGAATATGGGCCCAAATGTGGAGTAATACATTGTTCCTACTCACTCCTAGTTTTGTTATATAAATAGATTTTTAGCCCTAACCTAAATCTAGAGATTTTCTACTAACTTCCAGGCACTAATACTACTCAACAAAAGCCAAGAGCAATATCTGATTTTAAAAAGTACAAGTTCCTAGGAGCATGGTCCAATACTCACAAGCAAGCGTCTCTCTCACACTTGCGATCTGCGAATCCGTTCTGATCTAATAATGAAATAAATTTACGTACATGATTTCTTAGTCCTTTCCTGGAGCAGGTAGGCAAACTAACAATATGCATATTAGCGAGCTGTGATTTTTAAAAACATTTTTTTTAACCAAATGGCATAAAACAGATATATAACATTTTAGCTGTCAGAATTCTTGTACATAATTTTTTTTTTATTCTTTATTTTTATTTTGCAGGTAGGTACATATCTGTGTCAAGACACCACAACAGCGTATATTTGCATATGCATACAGGTTTAAGTAGTGGCACAAGTTCTTTGCACATTTTTCACATATATAATCAAGCTTAACGTTATGAGTAGGTCTTTACATTGAAAAGTATACCATTTATAAAGCATGCTTGTGTTGCAGGTAGACAATATTATTCAAGATTCCTTCAGTTCAGGATTTTATGCATAACTACATGTGTGACTCTTCTGTGGTGTGATCTAGGCTATAACCCATTTATCTGGTTGGTCTGCTGATTTGTAAGTGAGGTGAGTTTCTTGGGCTGATGTGTTCTAGCGAGAGCCATTTAAATGAGCCTGCATAGCGTTGCTGATTAGGTTATCCCTTGGGTTGCCCCTATGTAGTGTGATGTGTACCCCGCCTCAGGTAAGTGGCTTATGAGTCACAGGTACTCTTGGTTCTAATTTAATATAGCGGTATAATGTGCTATAGTGAAGAGTAATAAGTACAACCACCGTTAGTCGACCTGGCTACATGTATGCTTCAGCACCCAGAGTACAGCATCATCAGTGGGATTTATGTTACTACAGAGAGGGTCACAACTTAGGCGGTGAGTTTGATGCTAGGGTCAGCCAACCCCCGATGGATGGTGAGGTGGACTGTACATAAGAGTTCACGAGGAGGAACAAAAAGAGAGAAAGACATTATAACGTAGGCAAGCAGAACCACCTTTAGTGGAACTAACTTGTGTAAGAGCGGTAAGGGTAGTTGACAGGTATATTTGCTCCGGTGTCGGTTTGGGGTAGGCAGTTAGGCAGGGTCAGAGGTTAAGCCAATGTTTCTGGTGGGCCACTGCAAGCAGTCCTTTTCCAGACCAGATTTGGGGTATGCAGGATGAACAGGACCTCCTATGACTCCGTGTCCTGTCGTCACTCTCCATCTCCTACCCCAGCCTACTCTCCATGAAGGCAAGCTCATGGTGGTTCCAGGAAGCTCCGCGTGACACAAGAGCTCCGTATGCGCCTCTCGGTGGGGCTGTTTAAGTCCTCTTTTGGAAAGGGGTCTCTATGGGAGGGGCTCTGCGAGCCGACTTACCCCCTGGAGCTGACCGCCCGGGTCATGTTCTCTGACCGGCGCCTGGGCTGAAGCCGTTCCACCTCATTGCCGGGGGTGAGTGGTGTTGCGAGTTTGCTCTCTGTTGCCTCTCCTCGAGCTTTAGCCAGAATTCCTCCAAGATCCTGTTACGCTTTGACAGTGTCGATTCTGTCGAGCCTCGTGGTATGGCAAGAGGCCTGGCGTCCGCCATCTTGGGTTGCTTGAGGTGGTTAGATTTAAGTTGCAGCTTGAGCTTGTGCGGGGCCACAGGTACACTCGTGGTTGGAGTGATGAGGCCGGGATAACCCCCACCGGCAGGGGGGAACAGGTTTCTGTACTGCTTCATCTTTGTCCAGCAGGGGATCAAGAAAGGAGAGCGGCCGCTTCTCTCACGCCTTCACCCCCATAGCGTTGCGGGCTTAGTCTGCTTGGTATGCGTCAGTGAAGCTTTGGATTAAACCAGAGCTGATTGTAGGCTGTTTCCAGCCCTCAGATTACAATTGTTTTGCTTGTAAATGTCGATATTGGAGCAATTTCATAGATTCTCGATCAGAGCTCGCTCTGCATGCGACCATTCAGTTTGGCAGTCAGGTCCCGACCCCCCTCACATCATTTTTTTAAAAGGGGTTTATAGGCATTATTAATATTATTAGCATGTATCTAGCATTAACAGATTCCACAGCACTTATAGAAGAAGGATATTTAGAGGTGAAGAAAGTCATACTCAAACAAGCTTACAATCTACGAGGATTTGAGGTAAGATAATATAAATTGTTAGGTGACTTTCCAAAGGACACTTGCTCTAACTAGCCAATATATAAATGTACAATGCACATTGTTTTTAGTAATTCTTCAAAATAAAACCCAGTCTGGAGTATCTTAATTATGGAGTAAGCATAGACAAATGAGAATTCTCTTTATAGAGTGCACTAGTTAGTTACCGTAATTACATTGTTTCGTAAACAATTATCTGATCATCAGAGGGGCCTTCGGGCAGAGATACAGTCTATCTCCTAATAAAGCAGACTGGCCATTTTCTGACGTGGGCCACCCAGGCTGGTGGGAGTATTCACTGTAAGTTACTGTGCTATTTTCCACAAAAGCAAAATGAAGTCAATCAATCCGGCACAACACAGTTACATGCACTGCCTTAGGCAGAGAGGATGGAAACAAAGAGTATGGTAAAACGAAACAATAGAGAGAAAAACAAACTACGTAAATCATTTACAAAACACTTTTCACAGGTGAAAGCTTCTTTTGAGAAATTATTCAATACGTTCAAGAAACAAGTGGAGTAAACCACCCCACAGTAAAGAGTTTGATACTCTATACTTGTTTTGTGAAGTTGTGTAATTGTAAACGGTGTGTAAAAAAAATCCTAATATTTTGCTTGTTTTGAAGTTTCAGATGTCAGTAAGGAATATGTTTTTTTTTTAATGGCACAGTATAGTTGACTGCTCGTGCATTCATGTTGGGGACTAATCAGTGCACCAATCATAGCCATGATAAGACTGCCAACCACTTGAAAATTGTATACTAAAAATACTAGGTGGATTTTGGCTATTTGCTACACACAATGATTTTCCAACTCTCTTTCTCTCATTATAGGGTTTATCTACAAGATCACTGATTGTAATCAGAATAGATCATTATAGGATAGTTGTAAAAAAAAAAAATTCAACTTCATTGGGTTTTCCATGGGTTGTTCATCATTTAAATGTACTCTCTCTCTCAACCCAGCTAGCTCACAGTCAAGCAATACATTCCCTTACAGGGAAGCCACCTACAACTCTAGATTGAGCTAGAAAAGCACAAGTGACCAATGTTGCACCCCACATGGCCTATTCAGCTTACAATAATCAGTCACAACAATAAAACCACTGACCACTTAAGTGAATAAGATTGATTGGAGATGATGGCTAAAATGACTGGATCAGAGCATCTCCAAAACAGCTTGTTCCCGGCCTGCAGTACCTACCAAAAGTGGTGCAAGGAAAGACAACCGGTGAAACGACATCAGGGACATGGGTGACCAAGACTCATTGATGCACGTATGGAGTGAAGGCTAGCCCATCTTCTCCAATCACACAGATGACCTACTGTAGCTCGAACTGCTGAAAAAACGTAATACATGATTGAAAGTTGTAGGAATACACAGTACATCAGTTTGTTGTGCATGGGGCTGCATAGCTGCAGACCAGTCAGAGTACCTATGATGATTCACCGCTAAACATGCCTTCAATGGGAAGTTAAACGTCAGAACTGGACCATGGAGCAATGGAAGAAGGTTGCCTGATCTGATGAATCACAGTTTCTTTTAGATCATGTGGATGGCTGGGTGCATGTGTGTTGTTGATCTGGGGTAGAGATGGCAGCAAGATGCACTATTGGAAGAAGGCAGGCTGGTGGAGGCAGTGTTATGCTCTGGGCAATGTTCTGCTGGGAAATTTATACCTTGGCAGTTATAAGGATGTTATTTTGACACGTACCACCTTTCTAGCGATTGTTGCAGACCACGTACACACCTTCATGATAATGGTGTTCTCTGATGGCAGTGGCCTTTTTCAGCAGGATAATGCACCCTGCTCCACTGCTGATCTCAATCCGATTGAGTAGTGGTGGAATGTGCTGGAACAACAAATACGATACATGGAGGCCCCAACTCGCAACCTGCAGGACTGCTAATGTCTGATATCACAGGACACGTTCAGATGCCTTGTGGCGTCCATGCCTCAATGTCTCAGAGCTGTTTTGGCAGCAGGAGGGGGACCTACACAATATTAGGCAGTAACATATCGGTTACTATCTGGGACAAGCTTTATCATATATAATGTTGATAACATACATACATATAAGTTGGAGTGTCTTTCTTATTTATGTTTAGACAATTCTTAGACGAATATCGTCCCAAGGATAAAATATAAAAAGGAAATACACTCACAAGCCCGGAGCCAATGGTTAAGGCTCAGATTTCCAGCTTTGTGGCATATAAAGGTTCCCACTTCCTTCTTTGTGTTGGTAGATGGTTTCAAGAAATTGAATATCCTCTCAATAATGAATATAGATATAAAGTGCTTTATTGTAAGGTGCACAAAAAAGTAGAAAATAAAATTTATAAAATCAAAATATAAAATCAAAACCTTACAGTCCTTGGTAAGGTGTCTGTAAGTCCCTAATATTGATAACAAGTTGGTTCCACTCTTTCCCCACCTTTTCAGAAATAAAGATTTCTCCAAATATCTTCGAACATAACCTTTTACCAACATAGAGGAGGCTGGTGTACAAAGGTATAGAGATCTATTTGAAAATAGGTACATATTTTCCTAGCATACCTTGAAATACAGGGATCAATTGTCCCTATCTGATTTATTTGAGTATTTACAAGCAGATATAAATAAAGCTGCTTTAAAAATGTTGCTGTTTTTCAGAAGGATATGTCTACCATCTAAAACTACCATCCTTCATTTATCTCTATCTTGTACTCCAAACTAAATTTTACTGCTTCGGAGCACACTCTCCTGAGATATATGGGTAAGTGGGAGCAAGATATACGAGAGACTATTGAAGGACCAGACTGAGAAGACATATGGAAAGCCACTAGAACGTTGGGATTGTGTGTGATAACAGTCCCAACACTGAAAGATGCTGTTCCTCTGGCACATTACCCCACCAAAAAATAAAGAGTGAGTGAGCAATTGACTTATGCTGGAGAAACTGTGGCTGCAAAGGCTCTTTGTTTCTCGTTTGGTGGCAGAGCCAAAATTTAACTCCCTTCCAAACCTCTATTAAAAAAATTTGGCCAGCCGGGTACTTAAGAAACCAATCAAAACTATGCCCCTGGACCTTTCTCCTGATACGAGTGCTGAAAATAAATTCCTTGTTAGAATTACTTTAGCAGCCAGATATACTGCTGACACAGTTCAGGACAATAGTAATGTGGTAGAGTAATGTGTAGTATGTAGGTGTGTATCATAGAGCTGCACAGCAATAAAGTGCACACTAACATGGTATATGTAGGTGTTGTCACCTAATAATTATAGTTAGACCAAACCAAACATATATACCACATACAAAGTGCGAATTCTTATTCAGTGTGCTTTAGGCTGACACTTCTACTGTCCACTTCATTAACACGCAATAGTGACTGAGTATGGCTGCTTGAAATGCCAAAAAGTATGACGATATGAACCTTTTAGCACAATAAATACTGCACAAACTATTATTAAACATGTACTATCTCATATAAAGTAAACCAGATGAGAAGATTAACATTGTGAAATAACTGTTTCCAAGTAATGATCAAATAAATTGGAATACCATCATAATTCGTGCAATACGTTCTTAGCATCTTAACTATTTCAATACCAAAAATCTCTATATGACTTATTCAATTTCGAAGATGGGGGGGAGGGGTGCCTAACATATTTTGCCATCACTCCATTTTAATATTTAGTTATTTATTGAAGAGTGCTAGACAGCTAAGAGGTGTCTTTACTGCCAGGGCTCACTCTTACTGCGTTCCAGCTCTCCTTTATTCCTTGTTCTGTTCCAGCCTCCTCTTGTGCACTGGATGTTTGGTTTTCTGACCCTTGGCTCGTCTCTCTCTCGAATCTAGTTCTCCCCTAACCTTTGGGCTCAGTCAAGTCCAAAAAAAAACCATTTCAAATTACTCTTTCATGTAAAACACTAATTTGAGGATTTGAACCCGTCTGATCTAGCAAAGAATTAGAGTATCAGGACACACATGTAAGAGAGAGAGATAGGTGACTCTGACACATTAGATATTGGTTATAAGATTGCAGTCATGGTCCTGTCTACCATGGGAAGCATATCCCTACCCATTTGGTGAGTGCCATCTCTTCATACTTTTTGTTTCCCTTACATTTTCTTTCTCACATCACAATGCAAGGCTTAATAATTGCAAATACAATATCACATATGCAGTGACCAAGGGTCAAATAACATATATATATATATATATATATATATATATATATATATATATATAATAGAGCATATATCCTCCTGACTCCCAGCCCATTAACTTGTGTCCTCTGTCCTGGACAGTTTGTTCACCTGTATCTTTTATTCATTTGAGCTACTCTATCAACCCCTGCTGTGTAAAGAGGACGCCCTAGGTTTTCCAGTAATATGTAATGTGACAGGTTGGAATGCTGGGAACATCCTCTTCCTTTTCATCACACAAAAAAAAAACGAAACTGGAAGCCAATTTTTTTCTTGGATCCTAGGAAGATATAAAAAATGATTTGACAGATATGCATGAAGAATTTGCAATGTGAGAGACTATTTTTTTTTTAAAGCAAGTAAACATCAGCACTTAAGCTTAGCGAGATTTACAAGACCAGCGTTCCAGTTGGGAAAAATGTTAATGGCAGAACCAGGCTCAATCATAGATTCCAGGTCACCCTATGACCACCAAAGTCAGAACTAAAACAAAACTAGCGATAAGTGCCACGATAACCCCACTTGTGGGGGGGGGGGGGCTTGAGTTTATATGGCCGAGAATGGAGAAACTCAAGGTGGAGGGATCGGTCATCTCCCTCTCACCCACAGTGAGTAGGCCGTATGTAGACCACAGGTCCACCCCAAACACAAACTGCAATCAGAGTTTCTGCTTAATGAACTATTCTTGAGCCCACCATGTTGTAGGCTAGCATTAATGCTGTAAAATCATGAAATGCATACAGTAAGTCTCTATAAACACATAAATATTAGCTATTCTCCTGGAGCATCCTGCCCCATGGTATTTTTTTTTAAGTCAGATGTTGATGACCTACATTTTACATGATGCTCTGCAACGCTAAAAAGGTTAAGCCTCACTGACTTAGGCACACAGAGCATAACAAATGAAAATATAAAAGACGACATCACACCAAAATTAAATTAAATTGTATTAAAGATACATATTACCAGCTTAAGGAACAATATAAAAATAAATAAAAGATATGTTCAAAAAGTTCAACATAATGAAATGTAAAGAAAAAAAAAAGGCAAAAACTTAGTGCAGGTTTTTCAAGTTTTGTTAAAAATGAATTCAACACCTGCACTGTTGTTGAACATATTTTGACATAGGAGTCATCTGACCAATTTTCTATAAAGAAAGGTCATTTGAGTTATGACTTCAGAAGTCTCCAGCTCCAAAAGAATGGTACAAAACATTAACATGACGCTTCATTGGATCTACGATCAAATAAGCAAATGTCTGCTCATGTGGCTTGGATGATGGATAGCATCTGCCCTGGTCATCCTGAAAAACAAAGAATATCTTTTATTTTCTAGGAACAAGATTGGTAAAAAAAGACAATAAATATATTTTACAACATCAAATCAAGATATATAATCTTAGCGGAATACAGATCGTGGAAGAAAACTCATTAAACGGTTTCAGTACTTTGCAGCAACGTAGCTCTGAAGGTGTTTTATAACTGCAGCAATTTGAAGAAAAATAATAAACATTAAAAAAAAACAAATGCTGCAGCTGTGTGGCAGACCCCCAAAGCTATCAGGCAAACAGAAACACCATGTGTATTATTGGAGTTTGGGTGGCTGTTTGCACATTTACCTGCAGAGGACACATTAGTAATCTTCCCTTTATAAAACGAATGCATTGGCTAAAAGTTCAATGTATTATCTCTTTATTAAACAGTGAGGAAAGGGGACCCAAGTAAACAAACAATGGAGGCTTTGTTTGAGGTAAGAGTAGACTACCCAAATGGACTGCATAGTGTGAAAGGGCCACCTTTGGGTCTCAGAACTAGTCCAGACTCCTTACCTTAATGGTGGCCCTGTCAAGTCACAATCAGGGCATGCTGTATACATTAAATTAACCCCGCAATACTGCATGAGAGTGTGTGTCCCTGCCGAAAGAATACCTGAGTGCACACATGCTCGTATGGTATTTCTGTGTAGATGCCAGAATGTACATGATCTTTATGTGGCAATAGTGTCACTCTGAACACGTACGTTCCACAGAGTTCTTTATGTTTTTAATTCTTCCTACTGCACTAACACCAGAAAATGCTTCAATAACATTTAGGTAAGGG